AATTACTGTAGCACACATTTTGTAATTAGAAGACTTAAAGGATGAAAATACTTTTCTTAATTTAGTGTTGGGTCTTTTCATGTTCTCACTTGTGTTTTTTGTCTTAAGATGAAAAGCAAAATGGACTTAAATATACTTTGAAGTGACTGATGTCACAGTGGAAACAGAAGAGCATTCTGAGAAGTCCAAGCACTAGTCAAGAATTTGTTGGATTTTGTTGTTGTTTTTTTTTTCTTTCCAAAAGATGCAGTAGGATTTTGTAACACTGATTCCATGTAATCTGTGGAGCTCCATGGAACAATAATTACCCTCATTCAGACAGAAGTTAGGCTAGTTATAAACTAGCTACCTGCAGTTCTTTTCTTTCGATTTTGTCTTTTAAAAGTCACGTCTAAAATTTTATGTCGGATTATTGTTGTGCTAATCTTAACAGTTCTAAATTTAGAATTCAAATAATTGAATCCTAAATTAGTTTTTGTAGTCTTCAAAACAGTTTAATTTAACTAATCCTGCCATATTGTTAAAATGAATCAAGTGGTTTAACTTTTAAATAGAAACTAGAAGTTGCGGTAAATTATTCTCATTTCTCTTAAAGCAGTAGTCATGTCCTCTCCAAAAATTCTTCTGTCCTCTGACTGCGGAGGAAGCCCATGTGACTAGTTTGGGCAAGACACCTAGTTTAAGGTAGCTAAAGTCTGAATCTTACCCTAGGAATGTATCCTACAATGACTTAAAAAAAAAAAATCTTGGTAAGGTTTAAGAATACAAAGGTATCAGTGAGGTATTTTTGTTTGTTACACGCTGGGATGGAAAGCCATTGCACGTGGTATTTTGGAAATATTTCAGACATGGTTAGAACAGAAGATTGATAATGTTGATGGAAAAAAAGGCCCCTTTAATAACTGCAGTGGATCAGTCACACGCCTTTATTTCTGTCTGTTGTGTTGTATAGAAAGCAGGCATGAACATGACCCATGCATGGCATATTAATATAACCCATGGGCTATGCTGTAAAATGGTCTGTTTTATAAACTCCTGAAATGGGATCATGGGACTTTTTGAAGAAGATGATTACTCAGGTCTTCATTAACTTTCTAGCTGCTTACCAGAAATACAACATTTAATAAGGAGAGTGCCCTGGTTCTACATGTCTAGCCTTTACCCTTTCCAAAAGGGAAATTGATACATCTTCTTTTATTTATTTTTTATTAAGTATAGGAAAATCATTCAGCACTGGAAATAACACTAGGAATCAAGTCATTCTGCATCTATAGGTAATTTTATTAGAATGGAGTTTTATACTAAAAGGTGTACCATTTAGTTTTAAATTCATTTACAATGCTATGTTTATTTTTTACTGGTCATAGGAGTATTAGCCTATATATTCTTAAGGATATGCATTCTATATATTCTTGGGCTTTTTGAACGTTTTATTGCCTAGATCGTTACCTCATCTCTATAAAGTAGGAATATTTTTTTTAAGGCAGACGGGTAGCTCCTTGTGAACCTAGGGTAGAGGATGTGTCTTAATGTTTAAATCCATGTTTATAGGTAGCTACATCCAGTTTTGGAAAGTTAATTGCTACAACAGCATAGAATCAGAAAATGTATTTGAGTAATGTAAAAGGTACTGGGTAATGGTGAAATACTGAAAATTATACGTTCCTGGTCAGAAATGTCTTGTGAGGACTGAGAAAAAAGCTGTGACAGGAAATGGTGACGTGCTAAAGTTATTCATACTCTACAGAGCGTGGAAAAACTACAGTGGTAAAAAATCCCAAACGTTTCAAAATCAAATATAGGCTTCACACTTCAGCAGGGAGTATCAGTGTCTATCATATTTTCCTTGCCTGCTCTTTATATTAGGAAAACAATCTCAGTTTCAGTATGCCTTTGAGGATGGTAGTCAGCTTATATGACTTGAGCTACCTAAAAGTATGTTCCTTATGTATCTCAGTGAAGGAAGAGAGAGTCATCTACACCGTATCTGTCTCAGGCATTTATCTTAAGATGGGTTGACTCATCCTCTCTCTTTGTGGCTACTGTCCTGTTCCGATGAATTTTTGAATTAGCAACTTCATCGTATTTGAGAGCCTCCTTAAACCCAGGGAGAGAGACGAGCAGTGTCTTTCTTTGCTCTCTCTGTATCCTTTCCTGTTCTCTTGAAATGAAGCAATGTCAAGTTTCTTACTGAAGTATATTAGCAAAGCAAGGTCAAGCAAAATGTCTTATATTTAAACAGAGGGTACTGAGGTGTGTTTTAGGTGCAGACTCTGAAACAAGCTTTTGGTCTTTGACAGGTTACCAGGAAGATGTTCTTCTCTCCTTGCTTTCTGATGGAGAGTTTCAGCAAGGCTGGTGAATGCAGTAGTTGAGTGTCCTGGAAGTGCAAACAAGCTAGTTTAGGTGCAGATCATTAAATGCAAGAGCATTTGTGAACAATGTAATCCGAGTTTTTGAAGAAGACATACTGTCCTAGTTACAGCTTGTATGATGCATTAAAATAATTCCTTTCCAATGGAAAAGGTAGAAGTAACAGTTGGACTGGATGATCCTAAAGGTCTTTTCCAACCAAAATGATTCTGTGATTCTCTGAAATACTCTTCTCTGTGTCAACCTCGTAGAAATATTTTTGTTTGTAGCAGGAAGAAAAAGCTTGGATTTTTCACTGAAATTATGTATTTGGAAATTACTTAAATTTCTGAGTGTGAAACCAATTGATGTGAAACCAATTCATCAGTAAAGCTTTCCATATTCCCAAGAGCTGTACTTTCAAGTTGAAGTTTTTAATTCTAGCTTTGAAAATTTACTATACAATAAAACAAAAACTTGACATATTTTCCTGCTCAGTCTTCTAAAAATGTGGGCTCTCTGATCTGATTCAAAATGTGCTTTTAGTTTAGTGATTATGGTTATAATTAAGAGACTAGTTAGAAAAACCATAACTACAAAGTATAAACACAGCAGCCACAATAATTTTCAGAGCAAACTAGAGGATCTGTATCCAAGCTGAATGTTTCTACATTATTTGAGATACAGTGCAGTTGGTGTTTACTTAAAAAAAAAAAAAAAAGTTAATCGTTCTTAAGAATTTGCATTATGCATGAAGACCCACAGGAAAATTGAGGATGAGACATTTTTTTCCATGTCCTCTTAACTTTGCTGCTCCTACTTTAAACTAGTTGTGCAGGCTACTAGTTGGAGGCTACGTTGCTCACCTGTGGCAAATTCCATCTGTTTTGGACACCTGTCTTAGAATGGAGACAACCATCTTGTTAAAAGTAGCTTTTGAATGGCTGAATTACAGCTAACTTTGAGAACATCGCTGGTATTGCTCAGAAAAGGGAGCTAACAACTTTGTTTCTCATCAGCTGTTCACAATGATCTAGATCATAGGCCACTGTCTGCTGCCTTTTTTTCAGTTAAAAAGACTGATTAAAAGCCAAATTCTTTTTCCCCCCCTCCCAGTCAGGCATTTTTTAACATACACATACATCTTTGGTTTGGCTAATGGAGAATAAGTTGATGATCAGCACTTTCTTGAATAAAGAAACATAGTTTATTTCAGCTGTCAAAAATGAGGAGATTGTTGCTTACAGTGTGATAAAGAATCACAGTCAAAGATAAATAGTTCTGGAAAACTGCTAATGCCCCTTCACTTTTCTGTTTGGCTGCCTCAGTATTTCAGTATTTCATTTCTCTGGGATAAGAAAAAACGTCTGACAGCCCATGGATTTAAATTTAAAACATCTGTTATACTACTTTATTGTTTATCTTCTAGTTCCTCTTTAAAACTCTACTTTCTATAGTATCTGCAAAGATCTTGACAACAGTTGTGTCATGAAGGGTAATTCAACTTTAGATAGGAGGACAAATAAGATATGGCACATGTTTTCTCTTTGGTTTCTTCAGAGAGCCACAAAAGCAGATTTTTCACTCCATCATCTATACATTCATTTGTCTTCAGTTCATAAAATATGCCCACATCTGTTGGGAAACAGTGTCTTTTTAGCTTGGACCTGCTTGCCTTTCCTCATTGCATCAGAGAGGTGATGAAATCTTCATCCTTGGAGATACTGAGACTTTAGACAGAACCGTGAGAAACCTCATGAGAGATGACTCTGCTTTGAGCAAGGGTTGGACCAGGTGACCTTTGGAGGTCTCTCCCAATTTAAATTAGGAAAGTTTAAGAAAAGGTTTTTTATTTCTGTGAATGTAAGACTGATCCTTCTGATTTTCTCTGCTAGGAAAACTTAAATAAGCAGTCAACACCAAACATTAAAAAAGGAGTCCACCGTCACTGGAATGAGTCATAATGCCAAGAAACAGTACACAAATGAGTAACAATATAATTATGGATGATAATCTGCTATATATATGCTTTTAAAAGTGTACAAACAAATCTGTGAACAGTGAGGTTGCATGTGGATGTAATTTGTCTGCCTCTGAGTTTTTTGCATATGGGAAGTTGTGGGTTTTTTTTTTATAGTATTAAATGCAAGTCTTTATTATAGTTTTGTTTGTGCCAAAAGATTATAAACTGAACTTCTACAAGTGTGACACTGCATTTACCCACATGGGAAATGATAAAATGTGGTGTTACCTGTAATAAGGCAATTGTGGTTTTCTTTCAAGACTAATAGAACAACACGGCTGTTATGAAATATGAATACATTTTTTTACTGCACATTTTTTTCTTTTTCTGACCCTATCTGTGTATAATTTCAATTGTGATGACCAGTATATTGGATACACGGTATTTAGGTTGAAATATGCTTCTTTATAATAAAGGGCATGTTCATTCTAGGATTTCTGGTGGTGGTATTTTTTTTCTTCTTTCTTCTTTTTTTCCCTTTTTTCCTGTTTCCCTTTTTTCCTTTTTTCTTAAACTGTCCTTAATAGTATTATATTTCTTCCGTTGCACTTCAGAAAATGCTGACAAATTTAAAGGTTCTAAAATTTGACTTCCTTTCTGCTTTTTGTTTGTTTTCTCCTTACAGGCCTGGCAGCTGCGATTCAGTCATCTTGTGGGCTATGGTGCCAAATATTACTCCTACCTCATGTCTAGGGCTGTTGCCTCCATGGTGTGGAAACAATGTTTTGCTCAGGACCCATTTGATAGGTAAAAACAGAGAAAATATTAAGTAGAATGAAGTCTTGTGCTACTTGGTTGTAGAAAATACGAATCAAACGGGCCCATGTAGCTTGATGGACTTTTTTAATGACAATTAGTTTTTAGGGATTTTTTTCTGAATTTTAAGAGGATTACAAAACAGAAAATAATGACAAGTATAAAGTGGTCCTTGGTACAAAAAAATCATGTCAGTGTTTTAAAATACGGGTGTGCCAGTTAGGAGACATTGAAATCCATATTTAGAAGTAATTAGAGAGCTTCATTGTCATAGATGCCTAACTACTTGTAATTTTCTATTGAAATTAAAGCAACCATGAGTGTTAAACAAGCTTCATGTCACCATCTTCAAAGCTAAGTATAGTTATCCTACTCATTTTACTTCATGAAATTAGAAAGTAAATTGTGAGATCACGAATTTTAAGTGGTTTTATACCTCAGGTGAATATTCAGAGCATTGTAACAGAGCGATATTTCCCCTTGGAGCAATGAAGGCTGAAATGTTGTTCACAAATTAACTTCTAGAAACGTCAACGCATTCATATGTAGAAAATTTGTCTAGTTCAGTTACTCATAGTATAATGTTAAATGTAATTTGAATTTGAGAAGTCAACATGGAATGAAGGCAATCATTGTTTCAGGGTGGAAAATTTCATTTGATCTCCATCTCTGAGTTCTGTAGAGATTCCAGAAGCAAATCTGACTAAAAGTTGAACAGGTTGTGTTTGCAAATGGTTCTAACATCTGTGTTTCTCCAGGGCAATGGGTGAACGTTATCGTAGAGAGATGCTGGCACACGGTGGTGGAAAAGAGCCCATGCTTATGGTTCAAGGTAGAAAAAAATGAGACTGTTTTATTCTCTTGCTCAAGGAAGAAATAATTTAACTGCATTGGGGTCTTTTTAGTTAAATTAAAATTTTCATTGGATTTGTGAAAGAAAACTTGCTAGTTTATTTAGTTAAGTGGGCTGGTCATCAGCTTTGTGTCATGTTTAGTAGAACTCCTTGCGATACATAGAATAAAAACACACACAAGTAGTTGGGGTGAAGTATTGGAAGGGGATGTGTTACAAGGCTATCTAAAGAATTCCGAATGACATACTTCAGTATGGCATACTTCAAGGATGATAGATGACACCATTTTTGTGTACCAAAAATCAGTAGCTTTTACATACTTGGAATTCATAATAGATCTGGTTATTCTGTATACAAGAATTTGAACTTGTTTTGACCATTGCATTTCAACACCATCAAAATAGCTTTGGTTGTATCAGTACTTTGAGTATACATTCTCATGAAACGGAAGTCTGAAGACAGTTGTAAAGAAACATTGTTCATTATTCATTTCAATACCATATTTGCCTTTTGAATCTGGAAAATAACTTCTAAAAATCATTCATAGTGATAGCAAAAATATGATACTTCATATACTATAAAGAATGTTAGGAGAATGAAATAAGTTTGAGAAACTGCTGACTTTATCTTTTCTCTGTCAATGAGATCAGGATAAAGACTTTTCTCTGTAATGTTGCAGTAGTCAAACCAAATATTTTTGCATTAGTGTCACTCTTCCTGATATGAGGACTTGGTAAGCACTTCATCTAACAGAGCATCTTTCAATTTGCTCTGAATTTCTTAGTATTAATTATGAAAATTAATTCATTGACCTCTGTTCACTCCAGTTCAGTAGACTCGAGGTTGTGGATTTTTCTTCTGCAGATAAGGAAGACAGTGGTAATGTGTCTGTATTTCATCATGAGTTTGGCACAGTTCCATAACTTGAGCATTTCAGTTCTTTGACCCATCTGTTTACATTTGAGGCCATAACCTCTTTTCTCCTTAGACTCATCATGTATTAAGCAACTGTATGTTCTCTAGAAAAGTCTATTTATGTTTCTGATCCACACAGTTGCTTTTCATTCAGCATGACTTAAAAATATGTCTTTCTTTATCGTTCTTAAAGAGTCTGTATTTGTAACCTCAGAACACTGTAGTCCAGAATTATGAATTAAGTGGTTGCAAGACAAGAACGTACATCTTTACTAAAAAATCCAATTATCATATTTTAAGTTATATGGTAGAGGAAGACAACAAACAGTGTTTTTAAACACCAGTTATGCTTATCTTTTATTTCTAGGATGTAGTTTTACTTTTACTGAGCATAGCATCTTCCTAGAATGTTCTAGAGGCTAGAAGTTGCTGGCAGTGTGCTTCCTTAAATCAGATATTATTTCAATGAAGTCTGCAAAATTCATCTGTGGATGGACATATATAAGATCTATGGAAGTACAACTGGCTTTCCTCCATGCATGTTGAGGAACTCAGTGGAATATGATCCAATCAGTTTGAGGTTGAGTGTATGCATCCCTTATTTTGGATAAAACTTGCTAATGAAATTAATCTGATCATAGTGCAGGAAATTCCAAGTTTAAATATGAAGGAAATCAAAATAAGATGAAATCTGTCAAGATACAGTGGGAGCACACAAACAAGTTTAACTCTTGTTATGCAGTAATTAGATGGTTTTGGCATTTCAATATTCATATTCTTCATGCTTATAGTCTTCGATTCATTTAGTGCACATAGTTCATCGTGAGTTGAGACCAGTGGTGAGTGATGAAGAGGAGGCAATAGATGTGCAGTCTGGGATTTGAAGAAGAGAGCAAGTCATGTTTAAGGGGGGCAGGGAGCTTGACATTAGAGGTAGAATAATGATATCTTTTATGATGTCACAAAAAAAATCTATTTATAAAAGATACGTAATTAGATCTTTTTTTCCCCTTTAAATAAATAAATCCATAAATCACTAAACAAAACTGTGTGTCACTTCAAGGTCAGTAACTGTAGTGCACTGCTGTTGTATTTGTTCATATGTAATAGGAGAACCAGACAGCAGGAACTCCTCTGTGCCAGCATTAGCACGAGTGATACTGGTGATTAGAGCACAGACTGCGATTTACAAAAAATGGCAGAAGCGTTCAAGATGTTTTTGTATAGTTACAGAATCATAGAACAGTTGAGGTTGAAAGGGATCTCTGGAGGTTGTCTAATCCAACCCTGCTGCTTGAGCAAGGCCACCTAGAGCTGGGTGCCCAGGACTATGTTCAGACAACTTTTGAGTATCTCCAAGGAAGGAGACTTTACAGCCTCTCTCAGCAACCAGATCTTATGGGAAACAGTGTCAGAAACTTTGATGAAGTCCAGGTAGATGATATACACAGATTTCCCCTCATTTGTGGGGCCAGTTTTTTCATCATATAAGGGTATCAGGTTGGGAAAGCATAACTTCTCCTTGGTGAGTCCATGGATGACTATTCCTTATGATTTTTTGTTGTTCATGACCCTGGAAATAGTTTCTAGGGTTAGCTGCTCCGTCACCTTCCTAGGGGTTGAGGTGAGACTGAACAGCTTGTAGTTGCCCGGAATTTCTTTCTTGCCCTTCCTGAAGACAGGAGTGACAGTGAGGTTTTGTCCAGCATTTTGGTACTTCTCCAAATGGCCACGATTAATCAAAGATTACTGAAAGTTGTCTTGCAATGCCATCTGCCAGCTCCCTCCGCACTCATGGGTGCATCTCATCAGTGGGCTTATGTAAGTCCATTTTGCTTAACTATTTTCTGATCTCATTCTCTTCTGTCAAGGGTGCATCATACTTGCTTCGGATTATCTCCCTGGCCGATTTTGTATTCTGAATTTCACTTTTGTACTCTGTCTTTCTTTAACATTTAAACAGAAATTTTAAAACATACTCTAAGCATTACAATAAACTAAGCAGAATTCATCAGCAGAATCCTTGTCTGTGCATATTGTGATGTTCATTTATGGATGGTATAAAACTTGAATATGCCTGATTGAATGTCTCCCTAAAAATGAAATCGAGGTGACTAAGGTCTTGATGAGATAATAATTTGATTGTGTGTTTGGGATTATTTCAGGTTAAATCATAGAACATGGAAAAGCTTGTTATATGATTATAGTAAATTGCTCTGTATTTATTACAAAAAATCAAGAATTTAAGGAGAAAAGTAAGAACAGTTATTTGTTCTTAACTGGTTGAAGGAAAGAAGTCAGAGAGTTGTGGCTAATGGGACAGAGTCTAGTGGGAGGCCTGTGTCTAGTGGAGTCCCTCAGGGGTCAGTACTGGGGCCAGTGGTGGTCAATATATTCATCAATGACCTGGAGAAGGGATTAGAGAGCACTGTCAGCAAGTTTG